GACAGGAAACAGACCTCTTAGACTTCTAGCCCAGATCATGGAGTACAGCCTAGCTTACCAGAGTTGTTCTCTGTTCTCTGAGGTCTGGGGCCAAACCCCAGCTAACAATAAAGCTTCTCATTCTGAAGTCATTGCTCTCAGAATTTATCTCCACTGAGGACCCTCTGGGTTTTGGTTGGGCATATGATTTATACAGAGGGTGCCAAATATATACATATATGCATTTTAAGAAAGGAAAAACTGTATTAAGATTGTAATACTCAATATACCAATAACAAAAGATGAATACAAGTCATGTTTGACTTCTGCAATTACAAGAGGTGTCAGCATCCAGACACTTCTGATTATGGCGAACTAACAGTAATACATAGATAACATTGCTTAAAATGTGTATACATTTGCCATATGCTGTGGCTCACACCTGTAATCCCAGCACTTTGGGAGGCAGAGGTGAGAGGATTGCCTGAGCTTAGGGGTTCTAGACCAACCTGAGCAACGTGGTGAGACCTTGTCTCGACAATAAATTAAAAAATTAGTTGGGCATGCATGCGTGTTGTTCCAACTACTTGGAAGGCTGAGTTGGAAGGATCATCTGGGCCCAGTGGGGGTCGAGGCTGCGGTGGCCATGAACATACCACTGCACTCCAGCCTGGGCAGCAGAGCGAGACTCCGACTGGGGGGAAAAAAATATATATATATGTATATATACACACACACATATATTTTTATATATATATACACACACATACTTTTTTTGGCACTGCCAGTATATTCTGTGGACCTCCTAACCATAATGGCCATCTTATTACCCTAATTTCACCCCAACTTTTAACAAAGTGCTTTTGTTGTAGGAAAATAAAAACAATTTAAGCAAAATATAACATAGTATGTAATAGATATGATCTTGTTGCTCAGAGTGTCACCATGTCCCTAAACCTATTAAACCTCCGTAGTATCCTCTGATTCCTTCAGTGTCTTACGGAGCACTGTGCTCCAGATCCTGTTCCCCCCAGGAGGGGCATCTGTCCATGTGGGACTGCAAGACTCATGACCAGTTCATTTCATCAGCTCATGGTACTGTCTTTCTCTCCCAATTGCCCTGCCTTCCCCCCCCCCCCATGGCTATCCCATGTGTTTTCCTTTTGTAAAGAAGAGGTCTCTTTTATTCTCTAAGATACAATCAGTCCTTTTGTTCCTGAGTGAATTTGCTGTGTTCACACTGTGGGGTGTGAACTTACAATCAGTCCTTTTGTTCCTGAGTGAACTTGCTGTGTTCACACCATGGGGTGTCCTGTACTTGTGCACTCGCTTTGGAAAAGCACAGCGTTGCACCCTGTATCAGAAGCAGCCTATTAACTCTTCAGACCTGTGGCTTCCTCCTCCCTCTCCAGCCTCTGCGACAGTGATGAATTCCACATGGGCTTTAATCCATTTCTTTCTTTCTTTCTTTCTTTCTTTCTTTCTTTCTTTCTTTCTTTCTTTCTTTCTTTCTTTCTTTCTTTCTCTCTTTCTTTCTCTCTTTCTTTCTTTCCCTCACTCTTGTTGCCCAGGCTGGAGTGCAGTAGCATGCTCATGGCCACTGCAGCCTCCACCTGCTGGACTTGGACGATCCTTCTGCCTCAGCCTTCCAAGTTGCTCGAACTACAGATGCACGCCACCACGCCTGGCTAGTTTTTTTGATTTATTGTAGAGATGAGGTCTTACCAAGTTGCCCAGGCAGGTCTCAAACCCCCGGACTCAGGCAATCCTCTTGCGTCGACCTCCCAAAATGCTGGGATTACAGGTTCAGCCACCCTGCCTGGTGCAATCCATTTCTTGCAGGTACAGCTTGGCAGTGCCTTGCTTCAGGTCTGTTCCATGGACCTTTTGCCTTATACTCCAGGGAAATCTGCTAACTTGCTTTAACATATGCATGGCTAAGAAACGCAGGAAAGTTAACCTCTGGTGAGGCCACTATTGAGATGGAAACCCGTTGACAGGTGCTTTTCTTTTTTGACTCCTGGTGGAGCGTGCTGAGACACGTTTTACTCTTGTTTCTTAGAAGGTCCCCATGGAATGAACACCAGTACACGGCTCTTTGTGGCTAGTCCTGTACCATGCCCTAATATTGGTCTTCCTCCTCCCTGCTTTACTCCCTGTCTCTCACCCCTTCTCACCAGGATCACTCCTAAATGAAATACCTACATGCAAGAATTTGTTTCAGCTCTCTTTTCAGGAGACCTATGCTAAGAATTATGGGGAGGTGGCAGGGGTGGGAACAGTGCTGAGGGGCATTCTATTTTTTGAGGCTCTATCTACCTAGACTTAGTCTGTTATCTATTTTAAGGGTTCATTAGGTAAAGAAGAGTATACACTCAGCCGTCATTACAGGCTGGGTCATCTCTCTCCCCCACTCAACCCACTTCCTTCCCCTTCCCCCACTCCAATGTACACAGATCTCCACAACTGAGCTTCCTGACCTCCCTACCTGTGATGCAGCCCACCTCATGGCTTGGTATAGGAGGTGCTGAAGGATCCTCAGTCTCTAATCTCTAGGCAACCCTCCAACCACAATCTGGGGTACTGGGGAGAATAGCATGTCCACACTTACCCAATAGCGAAAGACCCAAAGGCATTGCTTTTGATCAAGGAGTTAATTTTACAGCAAATGAAGTATGATAGAGGGCTCATGCTCATGGAATTCACTGGTCTGATCATGTTCCCTGTCAGCCAGTAGTAGAGAGGTGTCCCCACTCCTGTGCCTCTTGGCTTGTGTGGTATATCACAGGTTCTGGAGTCAGACCAACTCACCTGCAATCCTGGCTCTGCAGCTGTTATGTGTGAGACCTTGGAGAGGGTCCTAAGCACATACCTCTAAATCTCAGTCTATTCAACTTTGAACTTCAAAGACTCTCTGTGACTTAGGTCAAATAAAGCATGCAAATTTAGAGCATAGTCTTGCATTTGCAATTTTAAAAATGGCAGCTGGCCAGGCATGGTGGCTCACACCTATAATCCCAGCACTTTGGGAGACAGAGGTGAGAGCATTTCTTGAACCCAAGTGTTCCAGACCAGCTTGGGCAACTTGGTGAGACCTCATCTCTACAATAAATCAAGAAATCAGTCAGGCATGGTGGCACATGCCTGTGGTTCCAGCTACTTGGAAGACTGAGGCAGAAGAATCACCTGAGCCCAGCAGATCAAGGCTGCCATAGCCATGAGAGTGCCACTGCACTCCAGCCTGGGCAACAGAGTGAGACTCTGACTCAAAAAAAAATTTATATATATATATATTCAAGTCTGTAATCCCAGCACTTCGGGAGGCCAAGGCGAGAGAATTGCCTGAGCCCAGGGGTTTGGGACCAGCCTGGGTAACTTGGTGAGACCTGGTCTCTACAATATATCAAAAAAGTAGTCAGGCATGGTAGAGCGCACCTGTAGTTCCCGCTACTTGGAAGGCTGAGGTGAAAGGATCGGTGGAACCCAGTAGGTCAATGCTGTGGTGGCCATGAGTGTGCCACTGCACCCCAGCCTGGGCAACAGAGTAAGACTGTCTCAAAACCCCCCCAAAAAAATTGGATCAGGAATGAGGGCTAGTGTAGGTGAGACCAATGCATCCATTGTCAGGACTCTTGGGATTGGGTTACCCAAAGCCTGATGGAAAGAGGCCTGTAGGCAGAGAAAGGGACAGGATGCCAGTGATTGGGTAGTGAAGAGATTCAGACACAGGGCAGCCTGGCAACAGGAACAAAACAACTGATGAGCCCTCAGCATGACTAGGGTCATGAGTGGGTGGGTGAGAGCGGGAGACATTTGATCAGTTGTCACAGGTATCGGAGAAAGGGTTTGATGTAAAGAACTATTAACTAGTCACAGAAGAGTAGCTGCTGGGGGTAAAGGACTCAGGAAGAAGTAAGTTTGGGAAGGAGTCCTTACAGGTCTGAGTTCTGGGTCTTGTGGTAGAGTGTGTGGCTGTAGTCAACCCACAGGGTGGAGAAAAAGTTGGCTGGGTGCCAAAAGCAAAGCTGATAAGCGAGAAACACTGCACTGAGGTGCCCAAAATATGTGAGGGGTGCAGTTGAACTTGGTAATGCCGCTGGGGTTCTTGCAACTCACTTGGAAGCAGCTCACATGGGAACAGGAGGCAGAAGCTGCTGAGCTCCCCAGGAAGCCAACTGAGGGTGCAGCAGGCTCGGAACTGAATGGTGTCTTCCTGAATTCATATATTGAAGCCCCATCTCCCAGTGTGGATGTAGTAATTGCTAGAGCAGCCTGAGCTGACTAAGACAAGTGGGGTGCTGCTGTGTACCTGGAAATCCCACTGAGGTGCCACAGAAGTTGTTGGGAAACTGCCTTGGCCTTGGGATACCCCTCAAACCCTCTGGGGTGAGGCCACTGGGTCCTGCACAAGAAGAGAGCACCATGGAAGCTGGAAGGAAGCAAAGCAGACAGGACCAAGGAAAGATGACTTTATTTCCTGCTTGTCCCTCCAGCGTCCTCTACGGGCAAAGATTAACATCGTGCCCAGCTGGCAAAGGAGAAATGTCACAGGGTCCAGCTCTAGTATCACAAACAGGCCAAGAAGGATGGGTGGGAACTCAGAGTAAATAAATTGATAATGGGAATACCCCTCTTTACTGATACAGGAATTGAGGAGTACGTCGAAGGGGAAAGTATTAATCATAAAATTGTGTCTTCAGGGGAGACCTGGATATAGAAGGGCCTGGAAACAGCAACAGTGTAGCCATAGGGGCCTGGAGAGGGAAGTGGTTCTGAACAGGGAGGGGATGGGGCAGGTGTCTGTGATGTGTCACCACTAAGAATACTTTCCCCAAAACTAAACACACAGGCCCAGGTTCAATGGCTCAATCTTCACATGGATGTGCGTGGATCAGCCCTTCATACCAAAAGTCAGTCCTTACTGCAAGGAATAATACACAGATTCAACAAATCCAATCTCTGAAGTATTTATTAGACACTTGTTGCATGCCCCCTCCCAGCTTCCCAATTACTTGTAACTCTGTGTCTCTGCCCTCAGGGGTTCACAGCCTGGTGTCCTGAGAGCAGAGTGAAGAGAAAGCTCAGTACTTGTCAGGCAGGCCAGCAGGTCTGAAGTGGTTGGGGTCTTTGCCACTCCGGCCCCATACGTTGGCAGCCTGGTCGGCAGCTGTGTCTTCTGCTCCGTGGCCTGTGAGGCTCTGGAAACCCTCTCTGGCATTGCTGGAATTGAGACAGACAAGAGGAGATTAATCCCTGGGCCGATGAGCAACGGTCCATGTTTCCATCCTCCCTTTTCCAAGAGAGGCAGTGAGAGGAGCCCAGAAAGACCAAGGAAGGAGGAACTGAAATACTGACCATGCCTGGGCACAGCCCTATTCAGGGAGTCTGGGCACCCTTAGGTTAGATGAACAGCACCCAGAAAGGGAGGGAGGGATGACTTCATGGCTTTCCCTTTTGCTTTCTGTGGGCAGGTTCACCCATCTTCACCAGTCATACTCTGGCTCTGGTAGCAGCCCAGGCCCTGCACTGGGCATGGAGAGTGCTGGGGGCACAGGATGGGCATGAGGAGGGGCCACAGCCCCACAGGAACCTGCTCAGGGCTCATCCCTCCTGATCCCCCAGGCAGTCAAGTTCTGCGGCCGGTCCCTGGCACCCCAGAAGCTCCAGCTACCTGATCACTTCTGCAGCCCAGGCACCCCCAGGTCCCCTTTGGGCAGCGTCATAGTTCCCTCGAGCGTGGAAGTATTTGTCTGCATTGATGTAATTGGCTTCTCGCATGTCAGAGTAGGCTCTCCACATGTCCCAAGCCCCTGGAAAGGGAAGGAAAGACCAATGGGAAATCAGGTGAACACAAAGATGGGACAACACGCTAGAGAGGAATCAAAAAACTCTTCTACTAACTTTAAGATGTCAGTCTGTGATGTCAGCATCCTTGGAACCTTCCTTAATCCTAGTTGACTTCAGGTAACTGGAGTGAGATCTCTTTAGGTGGGCACAACTGTGTTGTATTTGCTTTTCTGACCACATTTTACTTAGAACTCTTTGGATTATGTTTAGAGAAGGGAGGTATCATTATAGACCAGAATTTCCCAACTCTGGCATCTACCTATATTTGGTCAGATAAGTGTTTTCCAGGGCTGTCCTCAGCATGATAGCATGTTTACCAACATCTTTGGTCTCTACCCACTAGATGCTGACAGCACCTTCCCCCAGTGAAACAAGCAAAAATTTCTCCAGACATTGCCAAATTACCCCTGGGGAAGAACCACTGCTATAGGATGAAGTGACATATGGTAAGATCCAGGAATATATGTGAGTGAGGTGGTGATATGGAAAACACGCCAAGAGGAGTGGCAGACATGGAGCACTTCTGCCCTGAGTCCTAGAGTATATGAGTATATTCTTGAGATCTAAATGCACATAATTCTGACTCTCTGCTGGGGGAGTTCCAGGCATGGGTCATGCAGGAGACTCCAACGAGTGCTGAGACTGATAACCACCATGCTCCAGAGAGTGGTCAGCAGACACATCCACCTGGGAAGTGCTTTGCATCACCCACAGCTGGGCTCAAACCTCTTCTCTGCCACCTGCAGATGGGCAGTGAGACCCTGGTCATGAATCAGCTGTTCTAGATCTCATTCTCTCACCTTCCCAGTGGGGAAAATGCCTCACAGAGTTATTCTGAGATTCAAGGAGGAAATACTCAGCTCCTAGTGGGGGCTTTAATACATTGGTTCCCGATTCCTGTCAAGAAGGCTGGTAAAGGTAGGAGAGAGCCCAAACCAGGAAGGGAGTGACTGGCAGAGCTAGGCTTAAGGCCTCTTTTAATTATCTGCCCCAGAAGTTAAAGGACAGAAGGAGACAGAGGAAGAGATAATTGTTAACAGATGACTTTAATCATACGTGTATGAAATGATGGACATTTTATACAAATTTCAGATCTGACTTTGTGTCTTCTGCTCAAAGAAAACAGCTTCACCTGGGAGTAATGATTGTTCTTCCTCTGAGCAACTGATTGACACAAATCCTAAACTCTGTAGTCTTTTGAGCAGTTTCCCAAATACCTGGCACCCTCTGCCACATTGGGCTGCACAAACTAACACAGCGGCTCCAACCTTAGAGAGAATAAGAGCTACTTGTTGTTACCACATCCCCACTTATGGTTCAGGAGTCTGCATTTGTTTGTTTTTTTAGAGACAGAGTCTCACTGTGTCATCAGGCTGGAGTGCCGTGGGACAATAATACCTCACTGTAACCTTGAACTCCTGGGCTCAAGCGGTGTTCCCGCCCAGCCTCCTGAGTAGCTAGGACTACAGACACATGCCACCATGGCTAGCTAATTCATGATTTTTCATTTTTAATATTATTTCTTTTAGAGACAGGGTCTTGCTATGTTGCCCAGGTTGTTCTTGAAATCTGACCTAAGCAATCTTTCCACCTCAGCCTCCCAAAGTGCTGGGATTATAGACGTGATCCACCATGCCCACTCAAGTCTGCATTTTTTTAATACTCATTGAAACAGTTTCTAGAACATGTAGTAGATTCATTGAACACACCCTGAGAAACACTGAACTTTGGGGAAAGGAGATTTCCTCAGCAAATCTAAAGGACCTCAGATCAACAATTCAGGATACCCTTAGTTGATTACAGTCCTGTAGCAACACAGACACTACAAGTCTGTCAGGGAAAAAAAAAATTCCGTCTGAAAACGTGTTTCCTATGTTATCATGTCCAAGGTGATATTTCTATTAAGAAACGCTGTACAGCAACCCCCTTGGGTCCCCTCCCACTGTGGGAGCTTTTCTGTCCTCTCAATAGATCCTGCTTTCTAAAAAGAAAGAAAGAAAGAAACCCTGTAAATCTCCCTTACAAAGGCACAGTTGAGCCTTACGGTGGCCTCACCTCACATTGAGCCGGGGCAGGGATATGTGCCCTACATATGGACCATCAGAGGGCAGCACAGCACCACAGGGTGACCCTGAACTCAGGCCTGACCTGAGATCAGTAATCTCTACAGATGTAGGGTCTGGGCAAGTGCCAGAGCCTCTGTGCCAGCTGGAGAAATCCTGATGGGAAAGCCACGCTCCTGCTCTACCTCACTGTAGCATCTGTATCCATCACCCACATCCTCAGGCACGTGGAACCTCCTCAAGGGTGACCCCTAGTGGCCCACGGATGCATTTCTCTCCATCAGCCTTACCTCGAGCAGCCTCACCCACGAAGGAAAGCAAGCCTTGGGATCCCAGGATCAAGGAGCAGAAAATCAGACCTGTGAGAAGCTTCATCGTGCTGAAATGAAAGGAAAGGGTCAAGTAGTCGCCGGCAGGACTGGCACAGCCCTCCATGAGACTTGTATTCCAAAGAGGGCCTGGTCGTTCATTTCCATTGGTCCTTACTAGAATCTGAGTAGGACCTCACTCAGAGCCACAAGCCCTCGGTGCTGAACCCATCGGCCCTGAACCCTGACTGTGTAAGAGGATACCAAGGTGGTACTGATGGAGAAGGAGGGGCATCAGGACCAGACTGTCCCTCCCTACAAAGCCTATAATTCCACCAAGCCCATTTTCCATGTGTTCCCTCTGCCCAGCACAGAGCTCACATGGGATAAACACAAAACAAGGGAACAATTTTTTGAAGGCAGGTTTTTGGGGAGAGAGAAAACACAGTTTAAGGCTTTTTCAATCCCTCCTGGAGCATCTCTCACCTGATCTGTGGTGGAGCAGAGCTGCTGGTCTCTGCCTGCCCCGGGAGGTGGCTGCTATTTATACTGAATCTTCCTGCTGGATTGTGAGAGGGAAAAAAGCCCGACGTGGTGTCCGGGAAAGTCCCCGTGGTGTCCAGGAAAGACAACTTACTGGACACCAGTGTTTTTTCTTCATCCACAGGGTCATTCTTCTCAGTTGTGCAACCTGTGGAAACAAATGAGTTGCCCTCCCTTGGCAGCCATCAGGGACGAGACCAACTCTGTCCCTCAGCTTTGGGGGAGCTGAGGTTGCAGAGAGGAGGGTGGCAACTCTGTGATGGTGATGGTAGGGTTGAGAGACACTATGGAGTTAGGGCAGCTCTTCTGCCAGCTCCTGTCTGTACTAGTCATTTCCTCAGGATGGACTCCAGAGGGCCACTCCGTGGACGGGTCAGTAATGAAGTCTCTCTGTGTCAGAAATGAAGTCCTTCTGAGTTCATGTCTAAAGCATTTGACTTCCAGACATGACCAGCCTATCCCCACCCATCATCTCATCTCACGTGTGCCCTGGAAGGCTCCTTCCAACCATCCCATCTTGGTATCCCAAGAGTCAGTCCACAGCACAGAAAAGCCCAGCTCAGCTGGCCTAGCCAATTAGGAAATGTCTTATCCAAGCTGACTTCTGAGTTGGGGACAAGGTAGAGGAGAGGACTTTCTGCTGCCACAACGTAGTCCTGGAGACCCACCCTGGAAGACTAAGAGCACTGTGTGATAAATTGGCAGCCCAGCGGGGGAAGTGCCAGGCTCTCAGTCACAGGGAGGTGGAAAGAGCTCAGGGTGTGCTGTGTTACCCCAGGAAGGTAATGGGGTCACTGTCTGGTGGAAGTGTTAACAAGGACAGGTTAGCTGTGTGGGGGCTGGTGGGGGAACATGGTGGTGAAAGAGGGGCCAGAACCCAGCAGGGCTGAGGCCAGGAGATGCACAGAGGTGGGTGGACCCAGCAGCTCCCCTATCTTTCTCTTCTCGGGCTGTTTTCATACACATAGTGCTCGGCACTTAAAATAACCTGAAAAAAACTCTTGGGAAGGCGTAGGGCCAGGGAGAAGGGGAAAGATGGCCACATAGCCTGAAAGCAGCTGGTGAGTGGCTCCGGTCTAGACAGTGGTGTTAGCTCTGTTCTGGAGCCCACATGCTGATTCCCCCATGCCATACTTCCCACCACCTTAAACCCATGGAGGGGGGTTGTCCCTACTAGAACTGGTCTACACACAGTTACACACATCGAAAGCAGGTCATTCTCCTCAGTTGTGCAACCTGTGGAAACATATGAGCCCCCACACAGCTAGCCTGACCTTGCTAACACTTCCACCAGCAGGGTAGTTGACATCCCCAGGGATAAAGAGATTCTAGAAAAAGGCTAAATGACCCCAGTGGGGTCTAAGTAATCACAACACATCATGATCAAGTAGGGTGTATGCAACTCAATAACAGTTTAATATCAGAACAGTCTACCTTTGTAATTTGCTGTATTGGTAATTGAATGAAATAATTATTTATTATAATAGATGGTGAAAATGCATTTCACAGCGGTCAAGATCTATTGATGATAAACATGTATTAAAAAATAAAGACAGCCAGGCTCGGTGGCTCAGCCTGTAATCCCGTGTTTGGGAGACTGAGGTGAGTGGATTACCTGAGCCTGTGGGTTCTAGACCTGCCTGGGCAACTTGGTGAGACCTCATCTCTACAATAAATCAAAAAATTAGCTTGGCGTGGTAGTGTGTGCCTGTAGTTCCAGCTACTTGGAAGGCTGAGGCAGAAGGATCGCTGGAGCCCAGCAGGTCGAGGCTGCAGTGGCCGGCAGTGTGCCACTACACTCCAGTCTGAGGAACAGAGTGAGACTCCAACTCAAAAAAATAAAATAAAATAAAATAAAATAAAAGACACTCTTATTGACTTGATGAAAGCTAAATACCTATAATTTATAGCAACAGTTCTCAAACTGTAAGGATCTCTTGGATCCTCTTAGGAAGGTTTTGAGGTCAAAATTATTCTTATGATAATACTAAGACACTATTTTTCTTTTTCATTCTCATTTTCTCATGAGTACACACAGTATGAAAATGTCATTGATACAGGTCTGGATTTCCACATTGTAATTGACCTTTGAGAAACTCCAGTTGTCAAGTTTTGGTGTAGAATCTTAAAATAGCCACAGTGATCTAAGAATACTATTAAAATAGCCTCCCTTTTTTCAACTATATATCTGTGTGAGACTGAATTTTCTTCATATACTTCAGCTTAAGTAACAGATTGCAAGAGATTGAATGCTGAATCAGATAGGAGAATCTAGGTACTGTCTATTAATTCAGGCATAAAAAAATTTTCAAAAATATAAAACTCTTCTTACTTTTTGTTTTGGAAAATAGTTTTTTCATAAAAAATATATTATTTATGCTAACATGAAATGGATTTTTTAAAGAATTGATAAATGTTTAAATTTAAGAAATTTAATTCTAATAAGAAAATTAATAAGAAAATTAATTCTAATTACTTTCTTTTCTTTTCTAATAAAATAGAGTCCTCATAAATAAAATTTTTGGGGCTCTTCAATTATTTTTAAGAATGTAGCCAGGCATGGTGGCTCATGCCTGTAATTGCAGCACTTTGGGAGACCTAGGTGAGAGGATATCTGAGCCCAGAGGTTTGAGATCAGCCTGAGCAACTTGGCAAGACCTCATCTCTACAATAAATCAAAAAAATTGGCCGGGCGTGGTGGTGTTTGCCTATAGTTTCGGCTACTTGGAAGGCTGAGGCAGAAGGATCCCCTGAGCCCAGCAGGTCAATGCTACGGTGGCTGAGAGCAGGCCACTGCCCTCCAGCCTGGGTGACAGAGTGAGACTCCAATTAAAAGAAAAACAAGTGCAATGGGATCCTAAGACCAGAAAGTTTGAGAATCATTGCTCTACAGCAAACATCATGTGTAATGAAGGAATTTCAGTATGTTCTCATGATGGCCAAGAAAGAGACAAGGGTGCCCTGTTCTTATCACCACTGTTTGACATATTCCTGGAAGCCCTGATGAATGTCTAAGACGAGAAACTCAAGGAGGGTAAGAAGCAGAAGAGAAGAAATGCAACTATCATTATTCCAAGATGATATAATTTTTTACATAGATTGTAGCGGGAAGACAGAGACTTTGTGACACCAAGATTATTATAGGAAGTGGCACTTTATTACGTTGGCCGTCCCAGTGGACTCAAGGGGCTAATGCGTCCAAATTGAGCCCCCCAGAACAGGAGAAGTAGGGTCTTATACCCTTGTTTAAGTAAGGGAGGGGGTCGTGTTGAGTGATTACATACTTCCTTTGGAATCTTACAAGGTTGTACTCAGCAAAATCAGATTTTTCAAAGAACAAATGGTTTTTAGGAACTGCAGGGTTGTAAACCATCAACTTCAGAAGAGGGGTTTTGGATAAGTCTAGAATTAGTTACTCTTTTGCATTTCCATGAAATGGCCAGTCTCTGACCATTTGGTCTTTCTTAAACAAAACCTGCCTGGTGCCTGGCGGGTCTTTAGAGCTTGCAGCTTGCCTTTCAAAAGAAAATACTTTTAACTGCTACCAACCCCCCTTTCTGCCATATCAAGATGAGCATCAAAATCAAATGGCAAATGATTAGAACTATTAAAGAATTCTGCAAGACTGCCCAATTCAAGATAAACTTTAAAAATCAGTGCATTTTTCTGTAACAATCCTTAACAGTTACAAAATATAGCAAAAAAAAGTACAAAAAGATTAACTAAAAAGTAACCTTTAAAAATACACAAACTGGCTGGGCCCAGTGGCTCAAACCTGTAATCTCAGCACTTGGGGAGGCCAAAGTGAGAGGATTGCCTGAGTCTGCAGGTTTGAGATCAGCTTGGGCAACATGGTGAGACCTCATCTCTACAATTAAAAAAAATTAGTAGGGAGGGGGTAGTACACGCCTGTAGTTCCAGCTATTTGGAAGGTGGAAGGATCACAGAGCCCAGCAGATCGATGCTGGGGTGGCTGTGAGCATGCCACTGCACTCCAGCCTGGGCAGCAGAGTGAGACTCCAACTAAAAAAAACAAAACAAAACACAAACCTTTATAGATAAAATATTAAGCCTGTTAAGGGATAAAAGGTGACGATGTGTGTCATGTTCATGGAGATTATATCTGTTAGGCTACGGATAGGGTGAGGGTGAATGTGGATGGATGTGGAGGGGTGCAGTACCGCTGGAGCTGGTGTGCTGGAGGTACGTGCTGGCAACCAGAGATCCGAGTAATGCAAAGATTTGCAGCACATAAAAAGGTAAAAGAAAAAAGATTTATTTAAGAAAGACTCACTTCCCACAGACAGGAAGTGGGCCATCACTCCAAGATGAGTGTGGCCTTATAGCCCCCCCAAGCCCCAGCTTAAATCCTTTCCCCTGGAGCTGTTGCAATCAGGTAGACATGACTGCCGTGATTTCCTTCTTGACCACCTATGAATGTCTTGGAGACCCTGAGAGGGGTTCTAGACACCATGCACGGAGTCACGGATCTCACCACCCTCAGAAAGTTATACAATGGGCTGA